ACCATGAAGATTACCCAAGACGGGCAGTCAGCCAGAACCACTTAGCACACCTCCCAGCAGATTGGCCATTTATTCCCCCACAATAACACTGTGTTTCATTGGAGGACCTTGGGTATGCTTAAAACAACAGTTAAGCCTATTAGATTCCTAACTGTGTAATGCCTCAAATCCAGAAAGAATAAAATAATAGACTTCTTTTTTTTAAGATTTTATTTATTGGAGAGAGAGCACAAGCGGGGAGGGACAGGGAGAAAGAATCTGAAGCCGACTCCACATTGAATGCAGAGCCCAACACGGGGCTCGATCCCATGTCTGCGAGACCAGGACCTGAGCCGAAACCAGGATTCAGAGCCACCCAGGCGCCCCTGGACTACTTCTTCTTCTTCTTCTTTAACTTTAAACCACTTATTTATTTGAATGTGTTTATTTGATATAGTTGACATACAATGTTACTTTAGTTTCAAGTGTACAACATAGTGATTTAACTTCTCTGTACTATGCTACGCTCACCAGGAGTGTAGCTACCATCTGTCACCTTACAACACTATTACTTTTGAAGAAAAATGACTAACAAATTTGTCTCAGGAGTCTGGACCATGAGATGTGCTGCCTGCGATGCTGGGACCCACGAAGATTTTAAGTGCAGGTCAGCTCTCTCCAGTGCCACTACTTGGAGAATAAGAGGTGCCCAGGGCCCTGTGCTACATCTGTATTTGGACTCCTCCATTTCTTTTCATAACATTTTGAAAGGTAGCTTTCACAATAGTATCTGCTCATGGCTCACTTTAGCTCATAAAAAGCCAACAGGTTTTATGTCATGCCTTCCTCTAAACCCGAACTCTGCCACATCCCACTTAAAAATGACTCCCATTTTCTCTTTTGACTTAGGGGGTCAGCCAACAGAATCCTATGGCTTCTTCAGAATTCATATGGGTTGTGTAGGGTCAGAACTTCCGGAGTGCACAGTATCATAGTGCCTTCTCCCCTGTGGTTCCATTTCCCCCTCCCCCCACCCTTTTCTCTCCTGCTGATTCAGTCTGGGTGCTACAGACCCTCTTTAGTATCTGCTCCTTGACCATTTGCATTGTATTTGTGCTTCAGACTTATCTGTTGTGATCACCTTTCCTTTTGCTGGGGACCCTTTATGTCCCTGCTGAGCACATCTCCAACCTTGCTATTCTGCGCCTCCCTAGAATCATGCCTACTTGAGCATTGGCTTAGTGGAAGCATATCTTCTTGGGTATCTCTCAGAGGCGAACTCTCATTCTGGCAGCAAGAGGGGACTCTAACACGCAGATTACAGCCCAGCAAGAAGTTTGCTCCGATCTATGCCTTTCACCATTTTGCTGAAGAACCTACTCTACAGCCTTTTAACTGTGCATGACAACGATATAGATAGCCTGTCTTGTACTTTACATTGATTCCAGAAGGTTCTGGTGCATGACCATTGGTTGAGCTGGAACACTGGTGCCCAGTGGAGAAGGAAAATAAAAAGCAATGCTTCAGCTCCATACACCTGTATTCCCCTGTTGAGTATGGACAAACGTCTGCTAGCTAAGGAGTTCACTGTGCATTCTCTTCCTTCTCCCAAGGACCCCCTCCATCTGGACCAGCTACAGGCTATGTTCCTCCCCATATTTTATTCTAAACATTTTTGTGCAAGATTAGATGAACTCATGCTTTTAAGAACCAAAGGATGTTAAAGAAGGAAAGAAATTTAAAAATAACCTAGTCGAGCTTCTACATTTTACAAAGGGAATCAAAAGGCCAAAGGGAAAAAGAGCCCCTGACTGACTGGGGATAAAGGCAGAGGCTAGAATTCAAGTCTGCCAACTCCAAGTCCAGTGCAATTTTCAGAACACCATCTGACTTAAGTCTCCATGTCCTGAGTAATTGACCCATCGTTAGCTGCTACTTCAGTTCCTTTGCAGACCCTTGCAAGAATTGCATGGATGCTAGCAATGTTTCTATTAAGCCCCAGCTGGAAGGGCTGGGAAGTATCTAATTTCTAGCCAGCTTAAGTAATGGCATTACAGATAGATGCTCATAATGTTAGCACCCAAGACTGCAGATTCACTTGATTAAATGGCAACATGGATCCCTTTACATTCTTATTTTGATAATTAGATGGGATTTCCTCTCTGACCTGACACTTGTATTTCATTTTTAACGTGAGTCAGACAGTGAGTAATTCATTGTAGTGTTGCGGAGCAAACTATGCCTGTAGCTCATTAAAATGTGTTTAAAGTTTAATAAAATTTTACTCCATTCAGTAATAAACCTGGTTAAGTGTCTGGCATGTCATGCATGCTTTTAATGGCCTGTTTGCTTTTCAGAGATGTGAAGCAAGAGAAATTATTAAAAACAAAGACGTAAGATAGCCTTAGTTGCAGTTTTAAAATTCTTCCCATTTTCAACAGAACCATCTGTTACCTTCTATGTTTCCAAAATATAAAATGCTGATCGATATGATCACATTTTTTTAAATGTTTCTTTTCCACTTCCCAATCCGAGTAAATACCACCCATTTGTAAGAAGTTAAATAGCATTGTTTAATTCTTCAATGCTCAAATACGTTTGATGTTGCAAGAAAGAAAGACAAATTAATTGTTTGGGGAGAAGATAATTCAGAAAAAGACAAACAAGGAAGTATGACTGGACAATTTGCAAAGATCTGCCTTTGCAAATTGTCCAGTCATACTCTGCATGTAAAGTGGGGTGCTCACCCGCAGCCCTTTTTCCTGGGCTTCTCTATGCTACTCTCATGCTTGGCTGCATACATCATCAAGTGTATTTTGGGTTTTGTTTTTCTAGAATCACTGTGGGATGCTTTAATTTCCTGAGTCCCCCCACATCTTTCAGAATGCATGTCCTTTGCATCTCACTGATGTTGGTGGAGTCCACTAATCTTCCTCAGTACTTTGTAAATAACTGCCTCGTTGTCTCTAAGGTTGAATATCATTGTGGAGAAATCTTAAGCTAGCCAAAATTATTGCCTTTCTAGGAACGTTCTTTTTCTTCTTAGTTGACTGAAAAATTATTTTCTTAACTTTCAAGTTCATGACTTAACTAAGATATGGCTAGTGGTCCAACATTCTTTATCAGTTTTTTTTCCTGGAACATTGCATGTCCCTCTGATCTGCAGTTTGAAGTCTTCTTTCATTTCAGGAAAAGTTTCCAATATTCCACTCCTTTTCTGTTACATTTCTCATCTCTGGAAGCACCAATTAGCCCTATGTTCTATTGTCTTTGTTCTCTGCCTCTATCCACTTATCCAACTGCTATAAACTGTCTCTTCCCTCTCCACTGACTATTTTATGAGGTCTTTCTACTTGTCATTATTTTAGTTTTATACCCTTTTGTTTCAATATTTCTATTTCTATCATGGCGCCATTTTGGTTCTCAGTTTGTTTTCTAAGCTATTCATCTCCCTTTTAATTACTCTAGTCTTTTATAAATTTGTTTTAATATCTTGTTTAATCTCTTATAAATTGAGTACTTAAAGAAAATTTTCTTATTTTTCATGGGCTATAGCTTCCTCATAGACTAAACTGTTCTCTCTCCCTTTCTCTATCTCTATCTCTCTATCTCCCTCCATCCTTCTATAAGAGGGCACATCCTTGTTTATGCTTGTTCGTGCCAGACTTTCTTTTTTACTCTAGTAGAGTGTAGGTGAATTTTTCTCGACATTTTCCCCATATCATCTCAAAATCCTTTGCCTTCTTTTCTGAGTACAGTTTGTGGGATGACTGTTGGATTCCAACCTCTTTTTATTTGTTTATTTACTTATTTATTTATTTGAGAGAGAGAGGTTGCATGAGCAAGGGGAAGGGGTAGAGGGAGAGGGAGAAGCAGAATCCCCACTGAGCAGGGAGCCCAATGCGGGACTCAATCCTGGGACCCTGAGATCGTGACCTGAGCCAAAGACAGACACTTAACCAACTGAGCCACGGAGGTGCCCCTCCACCCTCTTTTTCGCTAACCTCTTTTTCGAAGCAAGAAAATTCAAATAAGGAAACACCAGCATAGCAGGTTGCCTTTTCTTGGAACCTGGGCTTAGCTCCCTCTTCTAAATCCCATTAGATGTCCCAAACCTGGGTCTCCTCCACCAAATGCAATGGACTCCATGCACTGCAGCTCTTTCTCCAATCTGGATCAGAGCCCTGCCTCTGCCAACATCCCATGACCATACACTGAGCTACTATTTTCTAAGGTGTTTTTCTTGACTTTTCCCAGGGCTACCTCTTCACCTCCCTCAGATCACTACTTTCTGAGTCTAAAGATATCATTAGAGTTTTTGTGGATTCAGTCCATTCACCTTCCTTCCTCTGTACTGTCACAGAGGAGAGAAGTAGAGTTACAGTGTTTCAGGCCAGTTACCTCTAATTCTGTGACCAATACTTTTTAAGATGAGGATATGAAATTATACACCTTTCTTTGCTTTGTGGTTGCTGGCAATATTTTGTTTGGGTTTGTTTTAATATATAATTTTGTTCATTTGTAAGTATTTAAGGAGGGAGACTCCATGATCCAACTTTATACAATGATATTTTCTCTCTGTCATCTCAAAAACCACATCAGCGTCTATACAAAAAAATAGTACTACACAGATTTTGAAAAATTTAAATGAAGATTAAGACTTCCATGTCAAATATTTAATTTCATTATTGATTTTATGATTATAAAAGGATGCATTCTTTAAGAAATTAATATGGAAAAGTATAAAAAATACATAGACATTCTCATATCATTCTCATATCATTTTGGTGTGTTTTCTTTTAGTATTTTATGTATCTGTGTATAGTTTTAAAAATTGGATTCATACTTCATATATGGCTTTTATTTGGTGGCTTGTTTTGCTTCTAACAGTACACTATGAGCACTTAACATAGCCTTAAATATTCTTTGAAAAAAAGCATGGAGGCATGCTGATATATTCAAATAGTCCCCTATTGTTGCATATTTATGTTATTTATAATTTTTGTTAACATTAATGCTGGGGAACACCTTTCTACAGAAATCCTTGGATGTATTTCCTTTAAAACATGTTAGTACTAATCATTATAGGGAAAAGTTTTCAATTAGCAATAATCGTGCCTCGGATAAACCTCATTGGCTACAGTACTGCCACTGCACAAAGCTGAGTAGTACTAATCATTATAAACCTTGGTTATTATTATACAGTGCTATAGAGAGATAAAGAGACATCCTGTACCGGATTAACTCTTGGGACATAAAATTTTAAATAAATTTAGTTGGATGTATCATAGTGCTTTTTCCTCATAAAGTCAAGGTCTAAAATCATGTGAATTCTGATGAATTATTTAATGAAAGCTACTCAGGCATTTTCTAAACTCTTTTCATTGTTTTCAAAAAGTACCACTTTACTGCCTTGATCAATGCCCTCTGGCTTTTTCCACAGAGTTCAGAATAGCATAGTGATTCAGCACACAAACTCTGGGGTCAAAAAGACCTGGGATCTAACTCCAATTGTGTGACTTGTATGATCTGATGCTCCCTCCACTCCTCCCTCTTTGTCTCCTTCTTTATGTTCCAATGACACTGACCTTCTTTCTGTCTCTCAAGCAGGCCAAGATCTTTTCCAACTGGGCTCTTGCTATTCCTTCAAATGTAACACTCTTGGCCCAGTCTACTCATGGCTGACCCTTTCTCCTTCAAGGGTTCATTCTCTGCTCAGCTAATGTTCTCATTAACTTTCCCCTCACGTCATTCTCTGTTCCATTACTCTGTTTTATTTTCTTCATCATACTTCTCATTACTTAAAAGTATCTTAATAGTGGCTCTAAAAGTAATAATAATAATAAAATAATGACTCTGATTAATGTTATTATTAGCTTACCTCAGCACCCATAATTCCCTTCCTCCCACCTACAGCTCTGGTGCCATTCTGCTGGGAGGGCGACTGCCCTCTTGTGGACTTTTAGGATAGTGCTACTAGAAGCGCAAAGACTAGTTTCACTTTTTGTAACCACGGGACTTATTGTTTTGGGGGGTTTTTCAACTGTCAAATATTTGAGACTTACTGATTTTCAGGTAGCTGATTAAGTGTTTAATCTACCTGAAACAGGAATGACCTAAAATGTGAGGTCACCTTGTTTGTAATAATAGTGGTCTCTAAGTTCATGAGTGTTTTCTCAATACCAACCAATGTGCTAAGGGATTTTCATATATTTTCTCATTTAGCTTAAGCATTGTCCACTGAGAAAACAAGGTGGTAATTTGAGACATATAAAGAAAGCTTTCCTAAACTTCTAAATAAAGCTGATTCTCTCTACGTCCAAGTTTGTCTGTGACTTTTCAGGGGAGAAAAATGAAAAGATGGAATATAGGGGTTTTTTTAAGCACCAAAATGGCCGGAATTCTTGACTCAACTCTGACCCTAATTATTGTGCGTCATTTAGAGATTTATTTGTCTTCTCTAGACCTTAGTTTCCTCAGGCTGAGAGTCCTTCCAAGTGTGAAATGATTTTAGGAAGACCCAGGAATCTAATAATTATGCTCGGCCAATGCCAAGGTGAGACAAAAAAATCATTTCTTCCTCCTTCCCGGGACTGGTGGCTCCCAAACCCTAAGAACTAAGACATCATTTTACAACAGAGTTACTTCTTTAAAGCTTCTAGAGGTAATCCTTAACTTATGAATAATAGATATGTTCTAAATGTAATCAATAATAATAGTAATAATAGTTATGTTCTAAACGTAATTAACTATGTATTAATGTAATTATCTACATCTAATTCAACAGAAAATTACTCTGTAAATATTTATTGAGTAGCCACTCTGCCCTGGTGCTTGTATGGAGGAAATACCAGCAAAAAGATCTAACTGTTACCCCAATCCTCATGAAATCTACTATCCAGTGTATCATGAAATTATCCCAGGGTCATCTTCCAAAATCACTGGGAAGTAAGATGCCAAAATTTAAATGCTAGGAAATTGGGTATATTTGTTACATTATGCACATTGATGGTATCATAATATAGGTAGTAAAGCATATATTTTGGGCCTGACGAGTTTCCTTTCAACCTCTTATTAGCTGTGTGATCTTGAGGAAGCCAGCTTACCTCTCTGCACATCTGCCCCCTCACTTGATAAACAGAGATAATGCTCCCTAATTTGCAGGGGTTTTGTAAGGATTAAATAAGATAATGTGTACAAAGGGTCTGGCGTACGCGCTCAATATATGGCAGCTGCTGAGTGAAAAAGAACAGGAAGAGAGAAAGGAAAATTGGAAGCAGTCCAGGAACCAAGTTGAGATTGGCAGAAAGCCAAAAATGGCAAAGTTTCTTAATGTTGTTGTATATAAAGGGCTGGAAGTCATAAAAAAGCTGAAGAGTAATATCATTTTCTATTATGTCTGAAACTAAAAAAGGAATGCTTTGCCCCTCTATATTATACTAATTAATTACCATTGCCTTTCAGGTCTGGGCCCAGACACTCTAGAAAACATGTGCAGTTTTAACTCACCATCTAAATTGGCTAAAAATAGATTTGCAAGAAAATAAATTCTACAAATAAATATGCCAAAACACTATGTGCCCACCACTGTTGAAGGCACCGGAGATAGAAGAATGAACAAAATCGGGGGGAAATCCTATCCTCATGGAATTTACAATCTAGTGGGGGAGAAATAGGTAATAAGTGATACAAAGAAGTAAATCAGGTAGTATATAAAAAGGTGAAAAGCTCTCTATGGAGAGAAAGAAGGAAAGTGGAGTGGGGGATATAACTTCAAATAGATGGTTAAGTAAAATATTGAAAAGGTAACATTTGAGCAAAGACTTGAAAAAAGTGGGAGTAAGATCTTTAAGAATATACTATTTGGGGGAGCAACTTTCCAGCAGGGGCTTGTTCAAAGACCCTGAGGGAGGAGCAAGGCTGGTACTTCTGGGAAACAGCAAGGAAGTTGGTTAGCCTGGAGTGGAGGAAGTGAGGAAGAGCGGCTGATGAAATTGGGGTCATGAGGGACTTTGGTTATCCAGAGTGTGGTAGACCATTGCAGGGTTTCTGCAGAGGGGCAAAATGAACTGACATATAATTCAACCAGTGGAGTCATGTGACATAATTTATGTTTTAAAAAGATCACCTCTGGCTGCTTTTTGAGAATTAAATGTTGGGGACAGGAATAAATAAAAGCAAGAAGACCAGGCTACTATAATGATCCAGGTGGAGATGATGATAGTAACTATGGAGGTGAGAAGAATATTTTGATTCTGAGTCATTTAGAATCATCATTTATGGTGATGAGAAAGACAAAGCGTGCAACAAACAAGTTTGTTTGAGGTAACTTGGGGGGGGGGGCATAGGAAAGGTATATGATCTAGTTTCAGACCTGTCAAGTTTAAGATGTCCATTAGTGTACACAATAGATATGCAAAGAGAGGTCTGGGCTGCAAATAGACATTTGAGGACTATCAGTATATGGATGGTATTTAAAGCCAGAGACAGAACAAGATTACCAAGGGAGTGAGTACAAATAAAGAAGATGTCCAAGGAGTAAGTTCTGGGAGCATCTCAATGGGTAGAGGAAAAAGTACCGGGAAAGAGGGAAAGGAAAAATCAGGAAAGTGTCTTATGCCAGAAAGCCATAGAAGAAAGTGTTTCAAAGAGGAGGTAGTAAACAGCTGTGTCAAATGCTGCTGATAGATCAAATAAAATGAGACTTCAGATTGACCAGAGGATTTAGTGATTTGGGGTATCAAGGGTTACATTGACTAGGACAATTTTGTGGGACTGATAGAGGCCAAGGCTGATTAGAGAAAATGGCAGAGAGGAATTGAAATCAGGGAGTATGGACAGCTCTTTGTTGCAAAAAGGAGCAGAGAAATGGAGGGGAAGTTGAAGAGTAAAGCAGAGTCCAGAGAGATATATTTTTTAAGATCCAAGAAATAACAAGTTTATTAGTCAATGGGTTGACCCAAAAAAGAAGGGACAAGTGATGAGGCAGGAAGGAAAAGGGAGGATTGATGGAGCAATGTTCCTGAGCAGAAGGGCTAGAGATGGAATGCACGGGCAGGAAGGTTGACCCTAGTTAGGATGATAGCACAGAATCTACTGCCATGGTCCCCAAAATGTGGTCCCAGGCCCATAGCATCAGCATCACTTAAGAATTACTAGAAATGCAAATCCTTGGGCCTTTCCCCAAACATCCTGATTCAGAAACTTTGGGGTTGAGGCCAACTAATCTTTTTTAACAAGCTCTCCTTGTGATTCTGATGCACAGTGAAGTCTGAGAACCACTAGTCTATAGTGGACTATATAGGTACAGATGATGGTCAGGAAGTAGATTTGGCCCTGAGAGCATGGGAAATTCTCTCTGGTTGCTTCTAGTTTCTCAGGGACATAGGAAGAAAGGACATTAGCTAAGAGGGAGGATTAGGGAGAAGTTGTTGGAGATTTGATGGAATAGTAAAGGTTTGAAATAGTTGTCTAGGAGAGTGGGAGAGTGAACGATCCAGGGAATGGAGTGTGTGTCGGAGAACATTAAGTGCTCACGTGAGGCTCATGGTCACGTGTCTATGCTGAGACAGTCAATCTGATTGTGTCTTTTCTCCAGCCATGTCTACCTGGAGTTGATAAAGATATAAGAGAAATCTACAAGAGGAATAAATGAATAGATATACGTAGAAGCTTTATAGGTAAATATTGCTTCCCAGCATAGAAACTGCACTATTTCCTAAAGACCAACTTACGTGTTATTCTTGACATCCAAAGTCCAGCCTGGAGGCCTGACCTATGAGCAAACCGGTGAAAGAGTCATGTCTGCAATCTTGCCATCACCTCACAGCTGATGAGTCTCAGGTGCTACGTCTGGCAAGGCCTGCCTGACTAGTGTGTGCACCCACAGAGTGTCCAGAAAAACTGCTTCTTCATTTTCTCCCCTGGGCACCATATTTTCCTTTTTTGAACAAAATTATTATTTAAACAAAAACTTGCCAATCTCGAGAAAGACCACATTTTGTATGATTCTGTTGATGTGAAATGTCCAGAATGGGCAAATCCATAGAGACAGACGGTAGATCTGACAGTGGTTGATTGGAGCAGGGAGAAATGGGGAGACAGAGAAGTGACAGAGAAAGGGTAAGATGTTTCTTTTTGAGGTGATGAAAATGTTCTGGAAT